CATACAAAAGAGTTCTGGCTCAGTCAGAAAAAAATGTCCAACTCCACAAAAAAGGAGGAAAAAGGTCCCAGGAGACTGATTTGCAAAAGATGTAGCTCTACATTTATACTGTGTCTAAAGAGTGTGAAAATACCCTATTAAACCAGGCAAGAGTTCAGTTAATCTAGATGTTGGCCAAAAAAAAAAATTACTGGACATCATGATTGGCTGGGCTTTGTGTATAAAGGGCAATGCAAACACTGTGTTGTACTCTAGAAGAAGATCTCTGAGAAGCCCCAAAGCAGAGATGCTTGATATGGCAACCCAGTCGGTTTTCATTGACTTTGACAAAGGTAGCCAAACCCAAAACCTTAGTGTGCTTCACAATATGAGTGAGCTCCCAGAGCCACACTAGCATCTGACTTTACTGGAGAAAAGAAAGCCCCTTTGTGTAACTTACAGAAAATTTACTGGTAAAGCACCACAATACAGCACTTATCCAAACCTTTCCCACTATTTTTGGAAATGGGCATTGGCACAAATATCCCAACAGGAAGCATAAATGTGCCAAGTATGAACCAAAAATACTCATGCACAATTGGATCTCCCTTGACTGTGTTTTCTTGATATGACTAGCCTGCTAGGAAATAGAGTAAAGAAGTGAAAAGAATCTTTTACTTTGGAGTATGTTGGAGTAATAATTCTTAGAGCAACTTCCTACATTTAATCTCTTTTAGCTTCATCATAGCCCAATGAAGTAAGGAAGGGCCAATGTATTATTCCTATTTTCCAAGTAAAATTAGGACATAGTGTTTTCCTAGCCAGCACAGGGCCAACACTAGAAGACTGACTCCCAGGCCAGTAATGTTTCCAACTAGATTGCAGTGAATTTGACTAGCTATTGACTCATATGTTTCTTTGTGAACTTCAGTTGAGTGTTTTTCCATCTTTATCCAATTCTGCTTTTTCTATACTTTCTACTTCCTTCTGCATTCTATTAAATCAATTTCCTCTCGTTCTATCTTCAACAAAGGATTTTTAACTGGCTACATTTAGTTCATAAAATCCCTTCAGATATCTGAAGACCATCACTGCATCACTCTTTCACTTGCCTCATCCTTAAATAATCCCAGTTTCATCTTTGTTCAAAAGTCCAGTTTTCTAAAATTTTAATTATCTTCATTGCTAAGGTCCAAATCCACTCCAAGGTCTCTGTAAGTTGTAAAGCTTCCAACTGCAGACACTATGATATATCCCTTCTTGGAATTAATCAACCCAAGGAACAACATTGAGGTGCTTGACACAATGTGAATGTTTACCAGGTTGTAACAACCCAACTTTAATGGAGAGGTGATTGTGACCGTGTATGTATCTCAATTATTCTATTACTTCACCCCAGTCCTAATACCAGCCAAAATGTCCATAGTATCAGTGGTAGAAGGAGCTGACTGAGGCTTGCAGGCCTCAAGGCCTTTTAATAAGACAATGAAAAGCAGTTGTTTTCCTGAAAATGAAATTGCTCCTGCTTGTAAGGAAAAATGAAGGACTCTAAAAATTTCATGTGAAATTTCCAGATATCCAATTCCCTAATATTTTCAAGACTCTGGAACAAAATTTACATGCTGTATGCAACAATATCTATTTGCCTACCAACAATCTGAGGCAGAAACGCCTTGCTAACATGTAAGCTAAACAGAAAAATCCTGCCTAAAATAACTTTGCTTGAAACAAGCATCGTTTCAGGTGGCCCTAAAATAAAGAAGACCTATTGGGTGGATATTGAAGTAGACTAGAAGGTACTAGCATATACAGGGTTGTCAGCTAAGAGACCCAGGCTCTAACTGTAAATGCACTTGCTAGCTGTATGAACTTAATCCACCAACAAACATTTATTCAGCCCCTATTATGCACCAGGTATTATGCTTGATGATGAAGCAATCCCTATTCTCAGGAGAATCACTTCATCTTTTGGGGGCCTTAGGAACCTTATCTGTAAAATAAGGTCATTTAGTGATCTTGAAGGCAACTGCCAGACCTAACATTCTATGACTTTTTTAGTCTGTGAATGGTATTGAGCATTTCAGTACATTTGCACTTTTTACAGTTGCATTGTCAAGAATTCTCAATTCCAAAAAAAAAAATAATAAGAATTCTCAATTCCAGATATACTTTGATGCCTAGGTAGATTGCCATACTTGAGAATCCACCAAACAAATGAAAAAGTTGTCAACTATACAAAAGCAGGGGCTACTAGGTGGCACAGTGGATAGAACACTGACCCTGGAATCGGAGGACTTAAGTTCAAATTTGGCATCAGACACAAAACACTTGCTAGCTGTGTGACTCTGGGCTAGTCACGTGACCCCAATTGCCTTACCAACAACAAACAAACAAACAAAAAAAACCTCTATACAAAAGCAAATTGAGCCTATGAGTCGGAAGACCTCAAGTTTTGGTTGGGAGTCCAGAATTCAAGCTGATATTTTGGTGCCCTGTCCAATATGTTTGAGACTCTTCTATA